TCTACAGCCTTTTTGCAGTGGAAATTGTGTGGCCTCCTGTGCTATTAGCCTTGTGCTCTGGTGTTGCCAACTGATTTCTCCAATTCTCTTTTCTCAGTGGGCTAGAACACAGCTGGTTAAATAGGCCGTGACTCACATAAGCTCCCGTGTCTTTTTTATTGACTGCTTTATGGAAATGTATCACACTCCAAAGGGTCCCCATTGTTGTTGCTGTGCATAGCTGAGTGAAGAGTCATGTTTAGCATTGAGAGATGGAATCCTATCCTGTCGTTTTTTATTGCAGAGTTGGATGTGGGTGGGATACAAGGGTTTAAAGGAATCTAGATGAAGAGAGAAAGATATCTGAGAATTTCTTTTATCTTCATCTGCCATGAAAGTTGGGTGGCCATCACTTCTGGGTAACACACTTCTCTGTTGATCTTATCTTTATGGCCCCATATCCTTCAGCTAAGTGAATCTTTTCTTTATACGGGCTGTTCTAAGAGATTTAGTTAAGTGTAGTGGTACAGAGAGATTATGACACTAATGTAATTCTGTTTTGTGCTGATATAATGTAATACACCTTTAGACTTACCCAAGAGGGCCATTTATTCTCAATAAATCGAAATCATTTTTATTTTTTCATGATGGTGGTTGTATCTTTTCTCAGGTAATGAACAAAAAGCTTCTTTTTTTAACTGTATACTTAAATATAAATTTTTTGCCTTAAAATAGCAACCTATACAATTGTTTGCAACTTCTTCCTGTTTTTATACCCATTCTCTAAAACATACTTTTACATACTTTCTACTATACATTAAGTAGCTCTCTGCAGATCTGTTTATTTACTAGTAGGTGTGGAGCCAGGCATACAAGATTCCTGCCTCATCCCCCCATGGCATGGCTAACATTGTGCATCCTCAGGATCATCAGTTCTTGATCAGTAGGACTCTGTGCTGACACCAAAAGAGGATGTAGCTTGCATGCCACTGTGGATTCCCATCTTGTTTGCTTGGATTTGTCAGATCATGGAGCTAATGAGATTGAGCTCAGAGTCAACTACATTGAGAACAGCTCTATTATTGGACTCACCATACAGTACCTTGTACATATAAGACAATAATTTCCTAATTTTTTTTTCCATATACATTCTAAACTTTGCCTATAATCCCATTTTTTCCCACTGCCCATAAGAGAAACCAGGCAAGAGAGTTCCTCAATACAGATTCTAATGAATAAGAAAGCAACATAGGCCAGGTGCTATGGCTCACGCCTGTAATCCCAGTACTTTAGGAGGCCAAGGCAGGTGGATGACCTGAGGTCAGGAGTTCGAGACCAGCCTGATCAACATGGTGAAACCCCATCTCTACTGAAAATACAAAAATTATCCAAGTGTGGTGGTGGGCGCCTGTAATCCCAGTTACTTGGGAGGCTGGGGCAGGAGAATCGCTGGAACCCAAGAGGCAGAGGTTGCAGTGAGCCAAGATTGCACCATTGCACTCTAGCCTGGGTGACAAGAGTGAGACTCTGTTAGAAAGAGAGAGAGAGAGAGAGAGAGAGAGAAGGAAGGAAGGAAGGAGAGAAAGAAAGAAAAGAAAGAAAGAAAAAAAAGAAACAGAGAGAGAGAGAAAAAGAAAGAAAGAAAGAAAGAAAAAGAAAGAAAGAAAGAAAGAAAGAAAGAAAGAAAGAAAGAAAGAAAGAAAGAGAGAGAGAGAAAGAAGGAAGGAAGGAAGGAAGGAAGGAAGGAAGGAAAGAAAAGAAAAGAAAAGAAAGAGAAGGAGAGAAAGAAGGCAGGCAGGCAGGCAGGCACATCTTACTGACTACACACAAAAACACAGCATATAAAAAACTGTTTCTAGCTATATTACTTTTCAGAATCTTTTTAGTGAATGACCAAGAGAGAAAATTCAGCAATTCCTTCAGTACCCCAATTTTAGCAAACTGAGTCTGACTCTTGGGTAGAGAAGGTGGTGGTGGTGCTGTCTCTAGTCTCCTAGAATTAGTAACTTGGAGTTACATCTCTGCTGCATTATGTCTTTGTTTTCTTGGTGGTGGCATTCTTGGGTTTCGGTTAGTGGGGAGAGAAAAGTCTCATGCTGATAATGTACTGAAAGTAAATGAAATTAAATAAGCGAAGCAGTGCTCATCACTACTTCCTCCCCCCTGGGTAATTCAATTCAAGCTCTCTCTCTGATGGCAACTCACAGGGGCTGTCTCTGTCACCCCGCTGGGGCCTGGAGTCTTAACATCTAAATAAAAGTTTCACTCAAGCATTTTTTATGCTCCTGCCAGCAGGATCAGTGAGCTGGTGTGGGCACATTAATGTAATATTCATACTCACAGACTCTCCCTGCACACGAGGCAATGTCTTCCCATTTTCATAATTATAGATGTTCCATAAAATGCCATTTAAATTTGCATTAAAAAAAGGAGGTTTGAATTCTAATAGAACGTTTAACATGTCTTTTATGATTCAGACTCTTGGCATCTTTAACAAGGAGCTGTGTCTCTAAGTTTAACAAGACCTTTAAAACAAAAGGAAAAAAACCTATAGGAAGAAGAGATGGAAACTCCAAGCTTATGGGATCCTGTTTCCTCATCCCCCTATGTCTTTAATTTAATTTTTAGGCCTCCAGGAGCAATTTTTTTTTTTTTAAAGAAAGTCTAGCTCTGTCACCCAGGCTGGACTGCCGTAGTTCAATCACAGCTCATGGCAGCCTTGAACTCCTGGGCTCAAGGGATCCCCCTACCTCAGCCTTCTGAGTAGCTGGGATTACAGGTGTGTGCCACCACACCTGGCCTCCCCAGGAGCAATTTTTTGACAGCACTTCAGAGAGCCTTCTCTTCCATAACTGGTCCTTACCCAACTCAATGCCTCTCCCTAAGTAGAACCTGCTACTGTTTTCTTGGAGTGTTTCCAGAGGGATAGGAAAAATGAAAGAATCCTAGAAAAATGAACTTTCCTTTGCTGCTATTCATCTCGTGCATGCACCCTAAAATGGATTAAAAGGATTTATGGCAACCACATAGTTTGCTAACTGTGAAACACACAAATGAAAATAGTCCATGAACAAGGAAGTTCACAATAGGACCAACTGGATAAAGAATCAGGCACATAGACACACTTAAAAACAAAAAAGAGGTTCTTCTGATCTATCTTTTTAAAACTAAGCTTGAAGGAGCTTTAAAACAAAATGTAATTTTGATTGCATTTTAAATTGTCGTGAGATGTTATTTTTAAACAAAAAGTAGGAAAAATACTGAGCAAAGTAGTGCCAGCTCACAGTCACCTTTGAATAAATGTTACTGAAGGAAATGTTCAAAAAACAATTGTTTGAAAAAAAAGTTATTTCAACCATAACTCTCAAGATATTGTATAGGTGCCCAGTTGATTCATATGTAGTTACTGTATTCCTAACTTTGTTTTGTATTTGGTTTGCTTCATAAATTATTTAAGGCAATCCAAAAGAGATTTGGGTTCTGGGACTAAAAAGAATAAATGTTAAAATACTGCTAGCCCAATTACCTTCATTTTGCCTAATTAAGAAATGTAGAGTGTGTTCTTAAAAGAGGTTGGTTTTTTTTTTTTTCATTCTTCTTTCATTTTATTTTTTGAGAAGTAAATTCCTTCTTTGTCTCTATCCTTCGTCTCTCCCTTATGTGAAGTAAGTATAAACCCCAGTGGAGGAAGATGGATCTTGACTTCTCAATAAATTTGTACCTAACAAGGCTAATTGAAAGCCAAGAACGTTAGCAGCATACAATGAAAGGCTGATGTCAGTTTCAGGGTATTTTTTTTGAAGCCTTCTACAGTTCTTAGATTCTTTCCCATACTTTTTTTTTTTTTTTTTTTTTTTTTTTTTTTTTTTTTTTGAGATAGAGTCTCGCCCTGTCACCCAGGCTGGAGCACAATGGCACAGTCTCGGCTCACTGCAATCTCTACCCCCAAGATCAAGTGATTCTCCTGCCTCAGCCTCCCAGGTAGCTGAGACTACAGGCACACACCACCACAGCCGGCTAATTTTTTGTACCTTTAGTAGAGACGGGTTTCACCGTGTTGGCCAGGTTTCTCTCAAACTCCTGACCTTGTGATCCACTCGCCTCTGCCTCGCAAAGTGCTTGGATTACAGGCAAGAGCCACTGCACACAGTCTCTTTCCCATTACTTTTAAGAAATCAGGATTTGGCAGTTATTGCTAAGTTCAGCTTGCATAGCACTTCTTGTGCAAACTTAAAATTTATGTTCACAGAGGTGGCTGTCTGTTAAAAGAAAACAAATTGAACGTGTGTTTATTGCTCCCTCTTAGATAACTATGTTTGATGTGAAGTCTATTACTTATTAAAAATATTTGTCTGTGCTGGTAGCTATTCATTTGACTTTTGATTATCTCAATGAGGTTTATCCAATTTGGAACTTATATACATAAGAAAATTCTTAATTTTCTGGGGTCCTTTTCCTGCCAGTCAGTACATATTTAGGCTTTCTCACCTTACTACAAATTAATGTATATTTAGATATTTTTAAGCAATTTTAGCATTAGATATAATGGAAAAGAAAGAAAATTGGCCAGGCAGTGGCTCACGTCTGTAATCCAGCACTTTGGGAGGCCAAGGTGGACAGATCACTTAAGGTCAGAAGTTTGAGACCATCCTGGCTAGTACAGTGAAACCTCATCTCTACCAAAAATACAAAAAATATTAGCTGGGTGTGGTGGTGGCGCCTGTAGTCCCAGCTACCTGGAAGGCTGAGGCAGGAGAATCACTTGAACCTGGGAGATAGAAGTTGCAGTGAGCTGAGATCACACCACACTGCACTCCAGCCTGGGTGACAGAGCAAGATTCTGTCTCAGAAAAAAGAAAGAAAATTTGCTTTTCTCTCCAATCATATAGAAATTGTCTTATCTTGTGCTGTGTTTAAGCAGTTGCCCTTTTGTACTCTGTTATTAATGTGAATTATCTAAAGTAGCCTAAATGAAAATTTTGCCAGGTTTCAACAAAGCATTTTGCCATTGGTCTTTTTAGGAATGGAAGACATCATCAGAGGAGCTCAAGAGCTTGATAACATAATCAAGCAAGGATACTTGGAGAAGAAAAGCAAAGGTATTGGTCAGACCCACAGATTGCAGGACATTCCAGGAAGGAAAGGGAAGTGAGGAAAAAGAAGCCTAACACGTTGGGTGCCTTCTCTGTGTCCAGTACTGTGCTAGGCAGATACAAGGCAAAAGCAAAGCAAGGAAAGAAGAGTCTGGTGTTTGTGTGTAGGCTAAAGAGAGATGTCCCAGCCTTGGGCAGACTGTAAGCTTCTTCAAGATAGGAATAGTTATGCCCTGCTCACCTCTCTAACTCCAGTGCCTTTTATGTGACAGGTGCTTAACAAAACTTGTTAAACCAATGAATGGTGTTCTTGTCCTCATCTCTCAGTGTGCTCCCACTGTATAGTTTTTATGTCATATGTGAAGCAGCCTACTTTCAAATTTCAGACAAGCCCAACTCCTTTTTTTTTTTTTTTTTTTTTTTGAGACAGTCTTGCTCTGGATGTAATTGTGGCTCACTGCAACCTCCAGCTCCTGGTTAAAGTGATTCTGCTGTCTCAACCTCCTGAGTAGCTAGGACTACAGGTGTGTGCCACCACACCCAGTTAATTTTTTGCATTTTTAGCAGAGACAGGATTTTACCATGTTGGCCAGGCTAGTCTTAAACTCCTGGCCTCAAGTGATCTGCCCACCTGAGCCTCCCAAAATGCTGGGATTACAGGCATGAGCCACCACCTTTAAAAAGAAAAAAAAAAAAAAAAAGACAGGATCTCCCTCTATTGCCAAGGCTGAAGTACAGTAGCGCCATCCTAGCTCACTGCAGCCTCCAACTCCTGGGCTCAAGTGATGCTCCCACTTTAGCCTCTCAAATCGCTGGAACAACGGTTCACATAACTGTGCATGGCTATTTTATTATTTTTTTGTAGAGACATGGTCTCACTTTGTTGCTTAGGCTGATCTCAAACTCCTGGTTTTAAGCATACCTCCCATCTCAGCCTCCCAAAGTCCTGGGATTACATACATGAGCCACTACTCCTGCCTTCAAACCCAACTCTTGACCTCTAATTCATTCAATTAGAATAGGTACCACTAGAGTTGGTATCTTAGGTTTAACACGCAACAGGCAAATTGGCTCAACACCAAAAGAAAAAAAAAAAAGACTCTTTCATGGCCATGGCCTGGAGAATCATTTTGCTTTGTCAAAGGCAACACATTAAGATATAATGGAGAATTTGAAAATGTGCAGGATGAGATTAGAACCCGAAAGATATAAAGGAGGCTAGATAAAAAGACAGCTGTGGGAACACAGAGCAGGCAACTCTGTTTAGAACTTGGACCTTTAACTGAGCTAGTCCCCTGGACCCTGAGTCAATATGGGATAACCTGTGGGAGTAAAAAGGAGGGTTTTACAGTCCATTAACCTGGGAAATAAAACAGTAACACACTGGACTGTATGTTGTTGGATTTTACAGACTTTTCAATGATGGTAGTTATCTGAATTTATGTCCCCTACTGCTGTTCTGTTTAGATCATAGTTTCTTTGGATCGGAGTGGCAGAAGCGATGGTGTGTTGTCAGCAGAGGTCTCTTCTACTACTATGCTAATGAGAAGAGTAAGTGTTCTCCATTTGCACAGCAGCATCTCACTCCTGGATGCAAACACTTCGTAAATTCTCAAGCACTTAGATCTCAAGATAGCAGTCCTTAACTAATATCCATAAAGGGACATGCTTAGGAAAGAAATAGGCATGGGCACATAATACCTTGCCCATCACCAAAAACAGAGAAGCCAATTTAGAAATTATTTCACCTTTAAACACTAAGAGTGTGGTCAGCATATCAAAAGGTTATCTTTTATTATGATTAACAACAGAACATTATAAATGTTGAATGTTTTTATTTTTAAAAAAAAGAACTTGAAACTCTTTATGGGCATCAATGCCATCGCTAAAATATTGAAAAAAAAATTAATTCTGAGAAAGACTTAAAGAGCTTAAACAATGGCCCATAAATAGAACCCCCAAGGGCATACTCCAAACTTTATCCTAACGACTACTAGGAAGTAAGTAGTGCAGTGGACATTCCTATAGCCATGGAATATGGAGACCTAAATGGTTGCTGTACCCAAGACATGCGCTTCAGCCAGATGACAGCAACAATGAAGTGTTGATTCAGGCCAGAGACAGTTTTTTAATGATCCACCACTGACTCAGTCAAGTCAACCCTGGAAGACCTTCTATGCATGTTTAATGCAATTGATTGATTTATGAATAGAAATAGAGGACATAAGCACAATGAGAGACAATTACAAATAAATACAAGCTAAAAATTATTATAGATGAATGCAAACTTTTAAATAGGGGATACTCTTATACAGAGTTGGACTGCCCCAGGAGTAATTCTAAGAAGCAAGAGAGAAACAAAGTTTAAAAAACATCAGTTCTTGTTAGGGCAAATTTCCTTGTGCTGTGCACCTTCATACAGAGGCCAGCAATACAGTTTGAGTAGACCCGTCTTCTTCCTTGTAATCATTCTCTGTTTCTCCTTCCTTACTCCTTCCTCAAATTTAGTCCTCTCCCAGTACCTGGATATCCAATGTAGAGAATAATCAGACACCCATCCAGTTGCCTTTGTACTTCCTGCACCTGTGGCACTAAGGTAGTGGAAAGAACTGCAGTTTTGCTAAGTGACTTGAAATTCTTAAGATTTGCCCTTGGCGGAGATTGCAGTAAGCCAAATCGCGCCACTGCACTCCAGCCTAGCGCCTGTTGACAGAGCAAGACTCTGTCTCAAAAAAAAAAAAAAAAGATTTGCCCTTGGACTTGGTAGCAATTGCTTCATCCTGCCTCCCTTCCTGCAGTGGTTATCACAGAACTTCACCTACTGTTCACCATCCTAGATTCCTCAGAACCTTTCCCATCTAGGGGCAAAGTCTAAAGCCCTGCTTGGAAAGGATAACAGCATAGTTTGTAAACTGAGCTACAAGTCCCCTGTCTCCTTCCAATACCCAGCCCATTCTCAAACCCAGCAACCACAATTTCTCCTCTACATTATAGGCATACAACACAGCCAGCTGTTCTTTTCTTATTTTAAAACTCCAAACTAATATACATTTGTTACTATAAAAATGTTCATCATTTCTTTTGCATTTAAATAAGTTCTTGGCATACCTAGATATAAAACAAGGTGTGTCACGTCTGTTCATTCAGAATCTTCCATACTCACGGTGAGAGAGGAGTGGGGAGAGCAAGAGCAAGAGACTCAGGGGCTTTTATTGACCATTTTGCCATCAGGGTGAAATAAAATCTAGTGACCAAAGAAACAACAAAACATTTTAGTGGCCAGTTAGAACAAGGAGAGATACTTCAACAAAAAAGATTCTGGTGTCAAAAAGCACTGTTCCATGGCTCCCTTCTCGCCAGTTATTTCTTATTGTGCCCATGACATTTTCTTTAGTAAGAAGAGTGTTTATGTATTTCTTTTAGCTCAACTGGGTGAGGACAGAGTCTTTTTTCTTTTTCTTTCTTTTTTAATGTTGTCATCCCACTGCCATCCTTATCATTATCATCATCAAAAAGCATTTATTAAGCAATTCATTTCACACGATATAGGGCTCAAAGCATCCCAGACACTGTGGTTCCTATTCTCTGTGTTCTGCCTGAACCACGCAATAAGGACACAAAATTCTTGCGAGCCCTCCTCTTTTTGTGTTTCTAACATTTTTTTAAAGTAGTGACAAGCAGAATAGTCTCCCCTTCACTTAGGGTCCTTTTCCTTTTATATCCTTCCTCGTCATCTAATAATACTCAGCATTACTCTGCTACTTCCCAGGTTGACCTCTTAGAAGGATAAAATACTGAGTTGTAATTATTCTCCCTCTAGCATAAATTCCCACCTGACCAGCAGGGGAGGGGGAGAGCAGTTTAGCCCAAATGCTACATATGGCATGGGAGGCGATTTTGGGATCTTATAATGCTCCCCTGTGCTGCTGTCCCTCCCCTCAAATGTGAGCTCTGCTGGCCCTGATAATAATGTTTCAGCTCTATAATAGCCTTCGAGAGCCTCACATTTACAGCCACACTCTCCCTGCTGTAATAATTCCTTCTTTCTGTTATTATAGATCTCTTAACATTCTAATAAATTCTCTGTCTCTGTTGTACTCTTTTGGCAAAATAACCTTTCACGTTGCATTTCCCTAGCTTGGCAGTGATATCTGCCTCACTGTCACAGTAGCCTCTTCCTAAGCTTCTCTACCTTTCCTTGACTATTGTGGTTCCTCAGGGATGTAACAGCTCTTTCTGTGCTTTTATTTTACATACCAGAGAAGATGCCTTCCCTTGCCAGTTGCATCTCTCTAGGGATACAGGGAGCTTTTCTATCTTTCAGGCAAGCAGCCCAAAGGGACCTTCCTCATTAAGGGCTACAGTGTACGGATGGCCCCCCACCTGCGAAGAGATTCCAAGAAAGAATCCTGCTTTGAACTGACCTCCCAGGATAGGCGCAACTATGAGGTAGGATGCACCAAGGAGATGGTGATCCTCATTGGTGTTGCAGTTTCCTTCTGTATTGCATGTGAGCCATGGTTACTATGCTGGGTTCCAGCCTTTCTTTGTTACCTGCTCATTTCGTACCAACTAAGACGCTCTTTCTTGACATTACCTCACATTTGTCATGCCATACCCTCCCTCTGTTGTCACTCTCTTCCTAGATACAGACTTTGCTTGGCTTCCATCCTTCATTCCTCCCCTTCTCGATTTCACTTCGTAGGTGAGCTGCTTGTCAATTGCAGCACACAAGCCAATTCCTTACTTATAGTCTCTGATTTTATGATTTAAAATCCCATTCTCTTTATTTTTCAACTGATTTTCTTCACTTCCTCCCACGAAACCCAGAAAACAGAAGATCTAACTGTAGAGTAAAAAAAAAAAATTATTTTACCATGTTTATCTTGCTATCCAAAATAGTCTTCCTGTGTGTAGATGCCTTGCATATCTCTGAAGGATTTCTAAGATATTGGTAACAATAGTTAGTAACAATAATAACTGAAGGACTAGAGGACCTGGTTGAGGCAAGAAAGACTTATTCCTCGCTATGCTCAGTTTGAATCTTTACCTCATTATAAAATTAATTTGTTTTATTTTATTTTTGCCATCTTCATCCTGAACAACCAACAAAATTTAAAAATTTCTGACTGTGGAAATATAATGATTTTTACCAATGTATGTTTGCGTGTGTGTGTATATTGTTTCCTGCTTTTGGGTAATTTTTACCTTATCACGATTTTATTAAAGCAATTTAGAAAAACTTCAGCTTATGAAAAAGAGAAAAACCATGTTAAGAGTAAATTAACCACTTAAGTAATCCTTTTAGTCTTCATACTTTTCTCAGCATTCTTCTTTTTATTTCTACGGTATCTTAACTCTTGTTTTGTTAAAGGATCTAGGTCTTCATTATGCAATTTCCAAAAATCGTTTAACATTTGTACTAAAACTTTTCTATACAGTCCTTTATGAATATATGTAATATAGATGTATGTACTGAATATATTCCTAGTTATTTTTATTATTACATCCTGATAGCAACATATCTAGATAAAAGTTTATGTAACAAGTCTAAACGAATATTTCTAGAAATGTTTTTATAGAAATGTGTTTTTAAGAAATCAAGAATGACAATGTCTATTAAAAAGTATTATGCAGGAATCCAGTTTCTTTGTATAGCATATATCTTTACCTTACTCCAATGGCCAGATAATTAAAATATTTTTCAGGACCAATTATTACAAGTTGATTTATTTAAAATAAAAAAATTACTAAGGGCTAATGCTTGACTGGCCTATTTTGTAAATCAGAATGTAGTTTATTTACTTCTTTTCTTTGGCCTGTTAAATTCAAATCATTACCATTGTCTGTGGATTCTTCTTCTACGACATCCTTTGGCTCTTCCCCTTCTTATTTATTCCCACAGCCATCACAATAGTTAAGTTCACCCAGAGGACCAGTTGGTCTCCCGTCTCCAGATTTTTCTATTTCAATCCTTCCTACTCACAGCTATTGAAAGAATCCCCCACTCCCTTTGCTAGAGCTGATAGTGGCTTCCTGTTGCCTATATTTTAACTCTGAACTCCAGGTACTCAGAGCCATTTTACAAAGTCTTCTCTGCCCCTCAGGTCTCCAACTTCACCTGTTATTTTTCTCCATTCAAGTTGATCTGCCAGCCGGAATTCCCCATAAGTCATTTTATTCCTGTTCTTTTGCACACGGGTCTCCCTACCTGAAATGTCCAACTCTATCCACCGGTTTCCACAGACCCTTCTTTAAAATCCAGCCAAAATGATATTATTACAGCAAGCCACCCTGACCTAACCTACTCTAGGCAACAATAGGTGTTCCCTACCTCCTCAATATCCAGTTGATACCAAATGTGCCTCCTTTGTAGTGTTCCCATTTCATCTGTGTGGGTTGGTTTGCTTTTTTTCTTGTAAACTTTTCTCAAATAAACGCCTGATGAAGGAATAGGTAATTAAATGAAAGAATGCACATGGACATGAACGTCTGGACTCAAAGAGCTGTCATCTCTGGGTATGCAAAACTGCTGAATGAAAAATCAGTTTGAGTGAATTATTTGGTCTTTTTTCTATATGTTATGCAGACAGAGAATCCTGAACTTTAAACTTGACTCTGAAACTCAGAGGTTCCTCCCACTTGGACATCCCTGTCAAGATTCATGGAAATTTTAGTGACAGTGATAAATTAATTCACTGATTTTTCTCTAGTTTACAGCTACTAGTCCAGCAGAAGCCAGAGACTGGGTGGATCAAATAAGTTTCTTGTTAAAAGGTAAGTGTCACTGTTATAGAAATAATACTTGAGTTGATTTGCAGTTGAAGTTTTGTTGCATAAATGTAATCTACAGGCTTCAGTATGTATTTTTTCTATCCTTTCTCAAGTCTGCCTTTCCTACCACATTCTTCATATTATAACAACAAATAGTACTATGTATAAATGAGAAGGTAAAGATGACATCAACCTGGAGAAGACTCTGGTATCATAGCTCATCCACCTACCTACAGGCAAGTCTGTAATATTCAAAACCACTAAAAAAGAAGATTCTAAAAATCAGCTCAGCCCAATTCAGTGTCTCCTAACCCCTTATATTCTGGAAAGGAAATTTATAATATCTAACTTAAAGTCATCTAGTTGCAATTGAGGTTCAAAATCTTCTTATTTTAGTCTTAGGAGGAAGTAGAAATCTAAACTAATCTCGATGGTCTTCAGGGACATTGTACATTAAAAACAAATTGCTATTTCCCAAGCCACAATAAGATGTTCCTTGCTTTAGGATGGGAAGGGACCTGCCTGAAGATGGTAAATGACTGCTCTTAGAGTACCCTCTGCCGGCCAGCCTATAGACAAAGCAGAAACAGTGGCCCAGGAAGGCTTATCTGCGAGTGGCCTGGCACGTAGAAGAAGCCAACCTTGGGTGTGTCACTTGGTATTAGATAATCCTCACTTACCATCATGGCAGGACCCTACCTCTGCAGAAAGGCAGAAGCACCAACTTTATACATGGCCCAAGACCTAGAAAGAAACATGTCAACCTAAAAATGCCAAGCCTTTTCATCTGTTTTTTATTCTGCTATGAGATTTTATTGTGGATAAAAAGAAGGAAGCACCAGAGCTTTAATTACAAGAATTGTCTGTTTTTCTCAGTTATGCCTTTGCTATCACAAAAACAAACTATTGCACCTACCAACAGCGTCATGTATAATAGACTGGAACTAGGCAAACATGAACATTGATGGCAAGACTACAGGGTATACTCTCATCTAGGTGCCTTGGATTTATGCGTGTAATATACCCCTAAGTGTGTAAACCTCAATAAAACTCAAAGCAGCTTTATTGAGCTGTACCCTGTGGTACTTTCAGAATCCCACATTGACGAAATTATTCATTCCATTTTATTTTAAAACAAACAAAATAATAACATATGGTTTAAGCCACAAATGTGTTTTTGATCCTTTCCTCATATGTGGTGGCACCAAAATTCAGATGAAAATTGTTGCAAAATCTTTATTAAAAGCCTAATCAAGCCAAACAGTTTTATTGCATTTTGAAATGAACGTTGGATGTCTCTCCATCCTTTCCTTCCCCAGAGTACGGTGACTGCACTCACCCATCCTGCAGAGGGCCCTCAGCAGGATTTCAGAGAGTACTCTGTAGTATACATCAGAGAATGAACATTCCCAGTTCCCCATTAAAATAAAAAACCAATCTCCCTCCCCTGCCCTGGTGCTCCGCAGTGCTGTAATGGCTCAACACCCTCTATACAGTGACCCACTTAAAGGGCAGCTAGACGCTGCAGTTGCAAAAGGACATGGTAATTGCATCGTTCAGCTATTCCATTTGGTCTTGTATTACTGTTATATTTTTCCATACCCCGTTTCTTATTCTCTTTCACTGTTGTCCATTTTTTTCTCTGCAAACAAACTTGTCTGAAATTCTGCAGTGAAATCACTGGGGAGATGAGCTTCTGACAGCTCCAGTATTCTACAGAGTTCCCATGGCCTATGCACCCTGCAGGACTGCAAGCCTTCACTCACCCTTCCAGTTTTCTACTTGATGAGTTGTGTGCAGCACACTGGCTTTTCCTCTTCTGGCCTATTTTCTTCCCTTCACCTCGTGTTCTCATTTATACACCCATACTTTTCAGGGGTGCTTCACCCTGATCAAGTTTTATTGCAAGGAAGGATTTATGCTGATGGTTTAAACCTGATGCAGTGCTAGTCTGGCCTTTTCTGTAGATTTCCTGCCACCAAAGCTCACATTAGAAATAACAGCATTTAACCTGGTGTTTCATTTTCTTTTGACATGTTTTACTCTCATCCCGCTTCCTCCTTCTCCCTCTTTCCTCCCACCTTATTATTTTATTTTTCTCTGTTTCTTGATTCATTCTCATCTTTGCCCTGGCAGATCTGAGCTCCTTAACCATTCCATGTGAAGAGGAGGAGGATGAAGAAGAAGAAGAACAAAAAGAAGAAGAGACATATGATGATATTGATGGTTTTGACTCCCCAAATTCTGGTTCCCAGTGCAGACCCACTATCTTGCCTGGTAGTATGGGGATAAAGGAGCCTACAGAGGAGAAAGAAGAAGAAGATATTTATGAAGTCTTGCCAGGTGAGAAATTTTGTGCTCCGTTTATCTTCCGCTAGTTTCAGAAATTCGTGACCTGATTAAAGAATAATAACTTTGCAATAAAAAAAAAAATAACTTTGAAAATTCCAAAGGAAGCCAAATCTAGCCTTCATCCTCTGAAGGAGATAATGTAGGAAGCTTTATGAGATTGTAGGGAAAATGATAATGAAGCTCTGCCTTGCTCTGGGAGCAAGAAGAATTTGATTAGGGAGTGTCTTCTATCCATGCCATGTGAAGTAACTTATTACATGTGTCCACCAGGTTAAACAGTCAAGAACATTTACATTGGTTTTTATTGGTTTACTGTGAGTTTTGGGATGAGTCATCAAAATTCTCAAGTTTCAACTTTTTGGTGTGTAGTTGTGAAAATAATGGAAAATTGCTTCAAAATTTTGAAGGATTTCAAAAATCTGAAACATGTTGTAAATGCTGACAAACGTTTTTAGTAATACCTTCATAGAGCAAACCTTGATAATAAACCTTGATAGAGAACAACACGCTATTACCTAGTTCAGATATACCGTGAATCAAATCACAACTCTTTTTCTTTTTTTCCATGCTTCATGTCCACATGATCAGCATCACAGCTGTGGACAGGATTATCACTACTCTTAAAAAGAAGCCTAACATGTTTTATCTGCTCATCATTACAACATGTCTACTCTCTGTATTTCCTTTTTTCCAAAGGCATGAAAACTATCATCTTAAAAACTATATAGTCATCACTGCTTCTGCATAGCCACTTCTAGTGGGGATAACAGCAGCTGGTGAACAGTGCAGAGCTCAGTGGGGGTCAGACAGAGGAGAACCAAAGCCTGAGCTTTTAATTGTGAGGTAGTTAGACCACAGGAACGCTAATCTTCAAGTCCTTCCAGAAAGATGGTTCCTATGGAAATTTGCCAGGAGTTCAGTGCTCTGCTGAGAAATTCACGTTAAGCTTAAATTTATAGCAATTTAAGCCTCAATCCCAGATGAACCTAGGAACTAAGGTGAATCTAACACTCAAGCCCCTGAAGATAGGGCTGGTTGCTAAAAGCATCAACAGTAAGCAACTTGCATTTCAAGGCTTCCTAAGAAGAGCGTCCAACTGCATTTATCTCTTCCTGGGGAAGAAGCTACATCATTGCTTCCTGAGTCAAGGGGCAGGACTTTGGCCACATGTCCCCGCCCTGCTGGGGACTTTACCCACCCACCAAGGAGAGCCTGCTTCTTCTCCTAGCACTTCTAGCCTCTGCCAGTTCCGACTTCTCCAGCCTTTTTGTTGTGTTTTATTATGCAAATGATATCTTGGCTGAGGTCGAGCCATTTCTTGTGTCTGACGTTAAAAAAAATGATAATTTCCTCAGCAAGTCATCGTCGTTAATGAAGTTTTACAAAAACAGATACAACCAAAGGAAAATAAAATTTCACAGGTGATAAATTTTTCCAATTTCCCTGGCAGAATTCGATAGGATTGTTAAATTAAGAGTGAAGGTGTCTGTTAGAAAGCAACGAGCAGTGATGGGTAATTTTATAGAGTGGAAAATTGAATCAAATTGCTACATTAAAACACAGCTCCTCTGAGAATCTTCCCTTTCACAGTCAGCTCCATTGCAACAGCAGGGTGCAGAAATGGATCTAATTCACAACACTCCCTAAAAAGAGATGCACTCCCCAACTTGGCCAGAATTTTCCTCGTGAGCTCATATTCTGCTCACTCCTGCCCAGGCTTGGGGAAATATCTGGGTGACAGTCCATTTTGGGTTACAACTGTGGAAGAGTGCTCTGGGAATACCTCAGTGAACCTTCTGGGGTGGAAAGAAAGGGCCTTTTTATGTACCATGTTTTGTTTTCAAAAGAGCCAGGGAGGAGGGGGCTGATGCTCAGAGACACAGAGCAAAGGAGAATAAAGAGAAAGAGGCCTCAAAAAATTAGATGAGTTTGGGACTGTCACCTTATCCCAGGAGTGGGCAGCGAAGGTATGATTGGCTTCCTAATGACCATCTTTCTCTTGCCTCCTAAACTTTTCCCCTTGGCCATTGCAGCACTGCCCAGAGTAGCAGGGCATTTTTCCAAAATTCCCACCGGCTTGTATGTTGGAGTGGCCCCAAGGGCATGAAGACTGGTCTGAGGGTACACTTACCCTGTATCCACAACCAGCTGTCCATTGGAAGTGAGGAAAGCCACACAGTAGGAAACCCAGGGTCTCTTTCTTCAGGTTAAGGAAACAGCAGCTAAGTGCCCTCTTAGTTTCCAAAGGACAGCACTGTACCCAGCCAACAGGTTCTTTCCCATAAGCCTCTATCCATCACAGTTCTTAGAGACAGAGTTGGAGGTGGGATATATTGACATTTAATTATGATATGAATATTTCAGCAACCAGTCGCTATCACTCAGCTTCCTGTCCACTCCACTCAGCTGTTGCTTCTGAACTTACTGTTTGAATTTTACATGTGCCACACCATCAGTCCTGGAGAAACTGAGAAGGGAATGTGAGGGGGCCTAACCCTCTCCTTTCTGCTACCCTCTCACAAGACCACCTACCAACCAGCGGCACATGAGACAGCATGGTATCATACGTACAGATACTGGCTCTAAGTCAGGACGGATCTGCTCTGCCACCTGCTAGCTGTGAGACCTTGAGCAAGTTACTTGCCCTCTCCCTGCCTGATTGTACTACCTGTAAAATGGGGAAAACAATAGTAGTTGTCTTAGAGGAATGTGGTAAGGAGTCTAGAACTGACATGTGTAAAGTTCTTAGCACAGAGCCCTGACATACAATGGCATACAGTGAGTACTCAGTAAATGCTGGCTATTATTAATGTGATGGTGTTTAAACAGGAAGTGTTATCTCCTTGAAGAACTGGAGGTGGTTAGGTCCCCGCCCTCTCGAACCAGACCCGAGACAGTCCAGTTGTATGTTTCCAGCTATGTGTATGGAGCAGGTGAAATTGAAAATCCTGAGCAGATGGAATGTGGAGTGCACCTTCTGCTCAGGCCCATTTTTACTGCGAGGCCAGGTGCTGGGTGGAAGGATGGCCTACAGTAACATTGGATTGTGCTAACACTGCATACCCATCAAGAGTCAAATACGTGGGCCTCTAACATTTGTTTCATTATAACAAGTAAATGTGCTTTGTGGAGGATATTTAACATTGACAGTTCTGCTAATCCTCCCTTTTGGGATGGGGCCCACATAAGCCCTCACTGTCTCTATGGGGAAAGCCATGTTAGTGAGACCTCCCTTCCAGGGTATAATTTAGATGGGTTTCCTAATAGGGAGAAAAATGTATGTAACAAATACCAAGTCAAAAAAAATGTTTTTCGTAATCAAAACAATGTATGGGTCATCACATTAAACTCACTCCATCACATTAATCATGGAATAATTAGCATTTGCTACATGGCTAGCACTCTTCTCCCCATGAGGGAACACCAGAGTACTCAAGGTTTTCAGCCAGACCACAGAAATGTTAGTGCTGGAAAATATGGTTTCAAGGTTGGTATCTGGTGGGATTTCTGAACATCCGTGTTGAGCATATGGGGGCTGATTGTTTTAGGATCTCATTTGCAATAGATTAAACTGCAGGGAACTACCACAAAGAAATGCTAAAGCAATATGTAGAAAATAGGAGGCCTTTCTGAGCCCCCTCTCACCACCACCACCACTCTCATAGTTATTTTACAGGCCAGCATAGGCCCAGCTCCATGATTCAAGATTCCATAAAAGGACAGCTTTTATCAAATTTTGTCTGAGGTCTCAAGGCTGGGATCCAGCAAGGCGCCTGAGACCATTGAAGTGCTATAACTGGGGCCTTGTAGCAGCTGCAGTGGCAACGGAATCTGGCTGTGTTCTCTAGAGAGATTTCAGAAGCGCAAATGGAAAGAGAGATGAAGAGCCTTCTTTGGGAATTTCTGTGCACATTCCAATGCTGCCCACACTGCCCCAGGGTGTTATTATAGACCTAGAAACCAGATTGCTTTATAATAAAGCATATAACTGAGTTTTTTAAATTTTGAGTCAAATGGAAACAAGCATTCTGTGGAATTATTTTTCCCCCTGTACAGTTGTTCAGACCCACAGGAAGGGGTAACAGTGAAGGTAAGAAGTCTAAAGAAATTTTTTAAAAAAATGGAGAAGAAAAATACAAAGTTTATGAAGAAAGAGCATCAGGAAAGAGTCAACACCATTATCAGGCCTCCTCTGAACTTCTGGCCTTTTCTCTTTCTTACTCCCATACCCACTGAGCCCCAGCCACACAGTCCTGCTTGGCCAGCGCCAAAACTGGAATCGTTGTTTCTTCTACCTAGACTACCCTCCTGATCTCAGCCTGTGAAATCGTCCACATTCTGGTCAACCGTCTCCCTAGTGACACCTTCCCAGATTCGCAACTGGAATTAAGCTTTGTTTTAGCCCTCACCACAGTGATTTGTATTCAGGTCTTTCTCCCCAATTAGTAGATGCTTAGGTATTATTTGTGAAATTAAATTCAGTGCATTCCAAGTGTTGCAGTTAGCACAAATTGAGTTTAATATCTTATACATCATAATATCTTATACATCAAGCCCATATCACTGAAATAAGATGCAAATATTTTGAGGTAACAGTTGAGATTACCAAATACAGAACAGAGAATTAAATGTGTTATTAGCATCTTGCTTGTATTTTCCATGTGGTCTGATGAGGTGCTATAACATCTGTGGATTTATAACGTATCTGTGCATGTTGGGGAGCAGTTTATTTCTACTTTTCTGCACGTCCCCTTTACACCTTGAGTCTGTCTGTATTTGTCGCATCTGTCACCAGAACACCTTGATGTCTGGCTGTACATTGATACATTGATACAGTTGGCATTTTTTTTTTTTTTTTGGGGGACGGAGTTTCGCTCTTGTTACCCAGGCTGGAGTGTAATGGCACGATCTCAGCTCACCGCAACCTCCGCCTCTTGGGTTCAGGCAATTCTCCTGCCTCAGCCTCCTGAGTAGCTGGGATTACAGGCACGTGCCACCATGCCCAGCTAATTTTTTGTAGTTTTAGTAGAGACGGGGTTTCACCATGTTGACCAGGATGGTCTCGATCTCTTGACCTCGTGATCCACCCGCCTCAGCCTCCCAAAGTGCTGGGATTACAGGCTTGAGCCACCGTGCCCGGCCACAGTTGGCATTTTTTGAAGATTTTGTCACTTTCTTTGTTTGGGGAAGTAAGTGATTTCCCCTCTTCCTGATTTAGTCATTTTTTTCTAATGTTATTCTTTCTGATATCAGTGTAGCCAATGTCGGAAGAGTGTCAGAGCAGCACTTCAGAAAAGAGCCAGGTGTCATGAGAAGCTGCTGGCTCCTCTCTGTCCCTCTGAGGTAGATTCAGTGTCCTGTTCCTCTCAGCCTCTCATTAGTGTCCCTGACATTGTGCCAAGAATGTTGATTGAAATCGACTCTCCGGATACTGATGCTCATTTGTGATGCCCCATGGTTCTCTTACATGTTCGCACAGTTAACAGAATCTTCTTCAACTGTTTTCCCAATTGAGATGAGATATTTGGGGATCAAGTAGAGCATTTAATGTGATAAGTGGACAGTAATCTTTAGAGGTTAATTTGTTTAAAACCTATGTAAGGTTGGGGTCCCATATGCACCGTTAGGAGCAAGGACCATTATAATCCATTACTGTTTAAAAGTTGAGCCAGCACATAAATTTTAATTCACTCTTAAATGAAGATGTATTTCAGTAGATATAATGCTGAAATGCCTAATAATACTCTTATAAAGAAATTCAACAAGCTCTTTAGCCTAAAATATATTGTTCAAAGTTGTCTCTTAAAATTAAAGCCTCACATTATAGATTAATAAAAATGAGAGCTTTAGCTATTTAACCCACCCCTTTTTTTCTGTTGCCATATAATCAGTTGTCTTTGACTTGGAGTTTGAAAGACATCTGTTTAGTTTCATGGAAGGATCTGAGATAAATTGTATGCCTATTTGTATTGTGCCCCCAGAACCTAGGGAGGTGTCTGCGGTGTAATTTTTACAACCAGCTGTGAACAGTGCTTTCCTTCACTATGTGACAGTGCCCTATACCCAGTCTTCCAAAGACCCCAGAGTCATAGCACCAAGCCCATCAATGGGAAGGCTTCTTGATTTGAGCCTGCTTTCAGCCACCTGGGAAGGACAGTGTTAGATAGAACAGATGTGGGGATTGAAGCTTCCCCATTCACATCCATCATTGTAGAGCTTAGTAATGACGGTGGATGATATAAAAGCTCTATGGCCAGTGTTTTTCTTTCTTTCTAGGTGATTCCAAAGGTGTAATGGAAAGTATCTGGTCTGGAATTGAACTGCATAGAACACATTTCTATTATTCCATATTTGTATTATGACTATATTAAGTGCTGTTGCCCAAAAGGATAAAGGAATCAAGTTTTAGTTTTCATTTTTATCATTGCAAATACATTTACATTCTCCTATTTTACAAATGCAAAGAGCAGGCAAGCCACTTTCAATAATTTATTTTAAAATCAATGCTAATGAGGTTATGTCTCGTCAGTGGCCGAGTTTTACAATAAAGTCTGATTTATTTAGAAAAGATCTTTGGTGAAGCTTCCCATCTAATGGCAATGGGAAGGAGGTGGAGTAGCAACACAGTGACCCTCCAACTTCGGATCCAATTTGTAATTCACAGTGGAGATCTGACCCAATTTACATTGATTAGAATTGGGAGGAAGAGACAGCTGCACACAGACAGCAGAGGTAGAATAAACCCTCTCTGCAAAAGTGCCTAAGCACAGCAAATTATTGGTCTTTGTGATGGAGTTGTTTGATACCAACAAAAGAGCTGCTCTCTCTCCAAATTGTTGGGTATCTCTAAAATGGAGGATGTACCAATTTTTCCTCTAATGTTTTCAATCCTAAAATTAGTCCCATGTCAAAAAGGAAATGCATCATAGCAGAGAAAGGAAGGAAGTGGACGAGTAACAAGAAGACAATATGCAAAGAATGTTTGATGCAGTTTATTTCAGCATGATCTGTTTCCTATATTTGATTTCACTCCTCCATTAGCTTAGGTTCTTTTATTCTCTGTGGTAGGGTTGAGGGAACACTACACGTGGCAAGTAGAGCATTCTCTGATGCTAGATCATACATGGCTATAAGAACTGTTGAGTCAAAGTGCTCCTTTTCCCATACCATATTATAGGGCAAATATATATGTATATATATCCCAGATTATCAGTCTTTTTTGTTTTTTAGAGACAAGGGCTCGCTCTGTTCCCCAGGCCCAGGCTGGAGTGCAGTGGTGCAATCATGGCTTACTGCAGCCACAAACCCCTGGGCTCAGGCAGTCCTCCAGCCTCAGTCTCCCAAGTAGCTAGAAGTACAGGTGTGCACCACCATGCCTAATTTTTGTTTTTATTTTTTGTAGAGACAGGGTCTTGCTCTGTTGTCTACGCTGCTCTCAAACTCTTGGGCTCAAGTGATCCTTCCTATCAGCGTGCTAGGATTACAGGCATGAGCCACCACACCTGGCAGTATCAGTCTCTTTTTTACTTGAAATCAATTACTTCTTTAATGCTCTATAGTATTCTAACATATTTTTGTTCTGCTACTTCTTATCTATGAGCTTGGAGCTTACTTTTCCAGTCTGACATACCAGAACTCATATTGCCCTATAAACATTACATTTAAAAAAAGAAAGAAAAAAATGTCCCCAGACCATCTCCTCAAAGGTTCATTTAGTGGCAAAACTATAGAGAAGTAAGACAAGCAAATGTTGTAAGACTCAGAAGGAGAAAGGAAAGTAAATGTAGGCAGGAGAAGCTGATTATTCAGCCCTCAAAACATTGCTTATTATACCCTATCTACTGTGCACGTGTGTGTATATATGTGTGAGTGAGAGAGTGGGAGAACATGGTGGTAGTGAAAAAAATAGTGAGTGTATTCTTGTTCACTTTGCCCCATGTATAAAATAGCTAAATATTATTTCGGCACATATTTACTTTATAAAGGCCCAGTTCCTACTTTATCAGGTAATGTGATAAGATGAAACAGGTTAATGAGGGTAAGAAACTTAGGCCAATCATGTTATGACTTCGACAGTATAAACACTTGACTGGAGTTAGACAATGGCATTGACTTAGAATCCATTGTGAATCTACAGCAATTAATTAAAAGATCATTCCAACTACCCTCAGGAGCTTATACTCTAATGAACAAGGCAGGCTGAATAAAAACAGTAAAAAGATAACTACAAGCCCCAAGTACTAGGAACATAAAATTATGTACATGACCAGCCTCTACTACAGCTGAACAAAGATGGATACATTAAGGATTAAAGACTAATTAACCACAGGAAGTTTTTTGGTTTTATTTCCCTGAGTCAGAGTCTTGCTCTGTCACCCAGGCTGGAGTTCAGTGGCACTGCAACCTCTGTCTCCCAGGTTCAAGCAATTCTCCTGCCTCAGCCTCCCGAGTAGCTGGAATTACAGGCACCTGCCACCATGCCCAGCTAATTTTTGTATTTTTAGTAGAGACGAAGTTTCACCATGTTGGCCAGGCTGGTCTCAAACTCCTGACCTCATGATCGACACACCTCGGCCTCCCAAAGTGCTAGGATTACAGGTGTGAGCCACCGCACCTGGCCAATCACAGAGGGTTTAAACACCCACTTCAAATCACACACACACACGAGTCACACACACACACACACACACACAGAGAGACAGACTTACATTCTAACTCTGGAGTGCTTAAAACCAGAGAGAATGCTTGCATAGAGGTGATAATTTTGAAGAGAATTCCAGAGGGAAGGAGAAATGGAGTTTGAGGAAAATGATTAGGATACTGGTGATAGACACCTAAATAATCCAATGGCCTGGAAGCTCCAAAAGGGCAGGAACCCTGACAGTCTTTTTTATGGCTTGTCCCACTTCCTAGTGCAATGTCTTGCATGTAATAAGCACTTCAAAATGTTTATGAATAAATGAAAGGGAAGAGAAGGAGAGGGCCAGTTTGAAGGTGAGAGATGATTTTTTTTTTCTTGAAGATCACAGTAATTAAACTTTCCTTAAAGAAAAGAGTATGATGAGCTCAGAGAAAGGGGCCTCTCCATATAAAGAATGTGAGACTGATTGGCTGGACATGGTAGCTCACACCTGTAATCCCAGTACTTTAGGAGGCAGAGGAGGGCAGATCACCTGAAGCCAGGAGTTCAAGACCAGCCTGGACAACATGGCAAAACCCCGTCTCTACTAAAAATACAAAAATTAGCTGGGTGTGGTGGCGGACGCCTGTACTCCTAGCTCCTTGGGGGGCTGAGGCAGGACAATCCCTTGAACCTGGGAGGTGGAATTTGCAGTGAGCCAAAATCGGGCCACTGCACTCTAGCCTGGGCAACAGAGCAAGAGACTATCTCAATAAATAAATAAATAAATAAATAAATAAATAACATGAGACTGTGAACCACTAATTGCTAATACTGATCATTTATTCCCCCAGATGAAGAGCATAATCTAGAAGAGGATGAGAGTGGCACTCGACGAAAAGGAGGTATAAGAGCTTCTAAATGCACAGGCACTGGGTGGGACATTATGGGCTTCTGATTAGAGAAAGCACCTTTTTCCGAGACTACAAAAATTACCTGACTCAATAATTAAAGAGGGTATCTATGTGTGACCTCAAGAGCCCCAAATAAAGTGACTGAGTAGGGAAATATTTAAACTTTAAAAGCAGCCATCCATTCACTTTAATTAATGGTTCCCAAAACAACCAAGATTTATCTTAGAGAGGGTAGGAAGCCAAACCAGATATTTATTTTTTCCTATCAGTTTTTCTCAAATCAGTACAGTGAAAATAGAATTGCCTCATCTCTAAGAGATCAGAGGATTGAGAATGGAAAGAATGGAAATGTCTCCTCTCTGAGAGGCCCGGAGATTGCAAGTTCAGAGGGGAATAGAAATGTGTCAGATCTGAAAAGTGAACACGGGGTGAAGGATAGAATTGCTTGGTGACGCTGACTTCTGATGGCCTGGTTTGATTCCAGGCACATTTGGAAATGAATATGTAACAGGTTTGTTGAATATAAAATTACATCTTATTCATCCCAGACTGTTAACCATGCTTCAGGCTGTTAGTGAGCCCATCCTTTCTGAGGTCAGATGCCCCTCTGAAGCCTCCGTAAGTGGACCAAGGACCTATTCCATGGTTGTCAATAAAGAAATGCTGCGCATTGCAAGGGCCACCTCAAGGACATTCATTCCATCAGCAGAGCCCTAATCATGACTGATTTAGATACTGGCTGATATTTTTATTAGAGAGTCTATGAAATTCTTAAGACTAGGAATTCTTGCCCTCTTTCCCTCCCTGCTCCTTCTGTTATCTGGCCCTGTCTTTTCCCATTCTCCTCTCTCCTTTCCTTGTGCTTTTTCTTCTCTTCTTTATCCATCCACCAAAGCTCCATTTCTAGGTTCATTCTCTGCAGAAAGTAAATACTTAAAAGGTTTAGGACCCAACTTCCTAAGGGTCCAGCTTCTCCCAGGGAAGAGAAGAGATAACAAAGATGCAGCCTCAGAAGTCATGTGCCAAAGCAGGAGAGAAAGAAAGCAGTGGAGGCAGGTATGATGCAAGGATGTGAGTGTAGCTGCAGGGACCTCATGATAATGAACACATGTGATTAAGTTCATTCTGAAACCTATCTCCTTCTTTTGTCTACTTACTATACAGAATTCCAAATGAAAATCTGTTCTGACCCACCCATGTTCCACATATATCTTTTCTCAACCAACTTCCATCACTAGTGCAGAAAAGAAACGCTTCATGTGGACAGCTTTGGTGGAGTAACTGTAAGCTTCCTATGGCCAATTTCATATTAAACTCCATTCAGGAAGCATCAGTCTTTTGGCAAAGTCTAGAATCCAGTTTCAGACTCCTCCCTCATCTCATTTCCTCCTTCTACCTCTTTCTGTAAGGTTATATCTGGGAGGTGAGAGTAGATTTATTTCTTAACTGTTCCCACAGCTATAATTCAAATAGGTTTAAAAAAAAAAAAACAACCTTTTGTTCCTCATACTTCCTGCCTCCAAAATAAGTGTTGTTAAAGTATAGCGAGCTCTGAATATGTTTCTATGGTTTACACTTCCCACCAGTTATAATGATTGGTGACTTAGTGATTAAAAAAACAGGAAGACTTTTCGCTATCTCTGCAGAATCTGAGGCAGGAATTTTTATTATTTGTGTTTACTTATTTATTGATCGATTTTATGTAGTGCCTTTTCTGCAAAGGAGCTATAGAAATGGTGAAAAATATATAAATCCAAATGTCATCACTTAGTTTTGTAACAATAAAAGACAGAGGTCTGGGGGAAGGGCAGGCAGCCCCAGTGAAAGGTAAGGAGCTCTAGGACAGCCTGAATTCCTATGTCATAGACAAGCTACACAAGTTTGTGCTACTTAGTTTTTCTCAGGTGTTAACATGCTTTTTGGGGGAAAAAAATTTTAAGCAAGTTGATCTTTCCCTTCTTCCTTGTTTCCTAAAAGATGCTATGGCTAGCAGAGTAACTTTTAAAATCCAAGTACTTTTTTCCAACCTCCATGAATCCTGTTCCTTGAATGCTGTGCTTTTCCCTGATGGAATTGCTAACATTTTTAAGGCCCAACTAGATCTTATCAGAATGGGTGAAAGGAATTCAGTTCATACTTATTGAGTGTTAATGACCCTGTAAGATGTAATTTCTTTTATTTCATTCTGTTACCTAGAAAATCTATCACAGCCTTGTAGTATTGATTGCTCAATCTATAAAGAGCTCAGTTTACAGCATGACTGCTAGTAACAGGGTTATTTTAATGAGTGACTCTTCAACACCTCAGATTTTCACTAAATTTCAACCCATCAGCCTAATAGTCTAACACTAAAGGTCTTGGGTAATGAGAGCTTATCACCTTTCCTTATCATGAATAGGTAACCTCCAGGTAACCAAAAATAAAACTCCCTCTGTATTTGTTTTTATAAAAATTACTAGCCATTTGTTTGCATGTGCTATGTCAAATAAAAAGCAATCCTGGAGGCACAAATCATCCTTAGATACATAAAATCCCTGACCAAGGAAAACCTGAAATAGACCCCTCCCACCCATACCTCCCTCAGTCTACCCCAACCCCAGCTCTGAAACTGTGGGCAAACTAAGCCAAAATGAGACACAGACCACACCACTGTGGTCTTATAAGCAGATGGTTGCTTTCAGGAGGGCCAAAAAATGAAAGACCACAGAGATGTTTGCAGCTCTTACCTTTTGAAGCCTGTTTCCCAAGACCAAACATGAGCTGATTATCAACCAACTAAAATATCGGCCCAATGAAAGAGTAAATGAGATGAAAATCAGAATGTGAGTGTTCCCCCACTTCCAACTCATACTTATAACACCAAGGACCATAGTAATTTCAAAACTCAAGATTAAAGCCCTCTGAAGTAAGCAAATGGTATTATCCAATTGTTCTTCCTCCTCTGGTACCACAGTCAGTGGATACTTGGCAAATTTTTTCATAGCTTTCTTCCGAAATAGTTAATAAATTATCAAGGCCGGGCACAGTAACTCAAATCTAAAATTCCAGCACTTTGGGAGGCTGAGGTGGGAGAATTGCTTGAGCCCAGAAGTTTGAGATCAGCAAGCTTCTGATCTGTTGAGGGCAGCAGAGTGAGATCCTATCTTTTCAAAAAATTAAAAGATTAACTGGATGTGGTGGCATGCACCTGTAGTCCCAGCTACTTAGGAGGCTGAAGGGAGAGGATAGCATAAGCCCAGGAGTTTGAGGCTACAGTGAGCTGTGATTGTGCCACTGGACTTCAGCTTGGGTGACAAAGTGAAACCCTGTCTCGAACAACAACAACAAAAAATTATCAGAGTTTACTTGAATGGACTAAATATGTTGGACCTTTCTGACCTGGCTTAAAGAACATTTCAAGTCACTTCCAATGGGTCACTACTTAAGGCATTTTTTGTCCTAGTCTTACCATCCCATGCTTTCGTAGGACTGGCTTTATCTGTCTTCGTATTCTGTCTCTCTTTTCCAAACTTAAGAGGTTATACTCAGTGCTAGGCCTCACTGACACAATCACTTTAGTCATCAAGAAAATATAAATAACATGCTGGCCTGCCTTTAGCCACTTTTCTCTGGTCACAGCTTGAATTCTGTAGCTACCCAGTGACTCCCAAACATAAGCTGAACTCTGGAAGGAATAGTCAGGTTTTATTGTCCCTAAGAAAGGAGAAAGGCAGAAAGATGTCCTGGTCCTTTTTACCTTAAACTTTCCTTGTAAGGCTGGGCATGGTGGCTCATGCCTGTAATCTCTGCACTTTGGGAGGCTGAGGTAGGTGAATCACCTGAGGTCGAGAGTTCGAGACCATCCTGGCCAACATGGTGAAACCCCGTATCTACTAAAAACACAAAAATTAGCCAAGCTTGGTGGCAGGCACCTGTAATCCCAGTTACTCAAGAGGCTGAGGCAGGAGAATTGCTTGAACCTGGGAGGCAGAGGTTGCAGTGAGCTGAGATCGCACCACTCCACTCCAACCTGGGCGACAAGAGTGAGACTCCATCTCAAAAAAAAAAAAAAAAACTTTCCTCATCATAGAGGCTAATTTTCAGACATTGACTTTATCATCAGTAGCACCAGCTTGGCCTCGGTTACAAGAGAAATGACAGTCACTAGTTGTAAAGAACCTGGCATGCAATGACAAATGCTTTGCAATAAATACCTAGAAAAAAGAAACCAATACTTTTTTTTAAACTTGGTCTGTTGCTATTCTTCTTACGACATTTTGGTTGCTTGGAGCTTAGCTTCTCTTACATAGGATAAAGAGAATAAGATGCTGCTCTTTTTTTTTTTTTTTTTTTTTTTTCTGTAGAAAAAGTCTTTCTCAGCTCTGCTAGCAATTTAAATGCAGTGATCATACCCATTAGCTTCTCTATCATTGTAATTGTTGTTAATTGTTATAACTGTTTTAGTTATTAGTGGTGTCATTATTGCTTTAGGTCCTCTGTCTGTTTTATGCTGAATATATTAGTGCTTTGCTTTTGAATTACCAGGCTTTATTTAGTGCAGAGTTACATTTTTTTGGAGCGACATTGAGAAATGCTGGCATTAAGCTTTATTCTTTTGTTTTTCATTCCAAATGGACAGACTGGAAAAAAAATAATTAGATGGAATAATGTCCTCAAAATGAGAATGAGGATGTTTTGAATTAATTAAATGGTCAGAGTGCTGCACCATTTCTGATTTCAGACGGCTGCCAGAATAGTATAAGCCCAAAGGAACCTAAATCCAGCCCACAGAGGCAAGCCTTACCTTTGGGCTCTCAGTTCCTCTCCCTGAGCTAAAGAAATCAAAGTCTCCTGATACATTCTCTTGTTTATAGGATGAGTTGGGCAGGTTTAGGGAGAAGCTGGTCTAGCCCTGCAGCCTTCTGGGCTTTTAAGCTCTTCCTGGTGCCAAGCTTCAGGAATGAAGCCCTCCTCCAACTTGTCTCTTCCCCTCTTTAAGGTACTTAAATAACACCCACTTGATCAGAAAGGCCCTTTCTAATCCCTCAAACTATGTTAGATTCCCTGTTACACACAGCATCCTCAGCCTCTCCTTCACAGACATATCACAATCACAAATAAACATTGGTACAACTGTTTTTTCCATGGTGCCTCCCCGACTAAAGGGTAGCCTTGAGAGGAGGGCTCATGTGTGGCCAGTGTGGAATTCCCAGTATCTAACACAGGCCCTGGCATTTAGTAGGTACTGTATACATGTCTGTTGGATGCTGAGAAGTGAAGTTGCATGCACACATACACATAAATGCAAATCACATGTGTGTTAAACAGGAAGTCTGCAATATGGAGTCATCTTGCCCAGCTAAGGAATTACCTACCTCTCACTGATTTCCTTAATACAGAAGAGCACAAGCTAGCTAGCAAGTTTAACCTTTTCCCAGTTTTTAGCCCTTCATTCTGCCTGTTTTTTGGAGCTGTTCTACTTCTGACAATCCCTATTCTTGGGCTGAGCTAAACCATCTCCTGAATTCCTGAACTCTGTCTTCTTTTGGCCTTTAACATCAAAGACCTTTTCTACCTAAATTTTTTTCCTGGAAGGCTTCTGTTTTCCTCCTAGCTTCTTGCTTTCCCTATGATCTGTTGTGCTTTTAGAAAGGTCTTTTTTGCCGAGCACGGTGGCTCATGCCTGTAATCCTAGCACTTTGGGAGGCCAAGGTGGGTGGATCACCTGAGGTCAGGAGTTCAAGACCAGCCTGGCCATCATGGTGAAACCCCATCTTTTAAAAAAACAAAACAAAAAAAAAAAAAGAATAGGTCTTTTTCTAGATGTTCTACCAGGCCCATGTATACCCAATGTCAAATCACTTTTCTTATACACCAAAAGGGTACTTAGTATTAGGACCTATCCCACATCCAGGCACACTGCAGGGAACAGTCCTCCAGAGTGACCATCCACTTGGCCAGAAAAGACCAAGACAAGCTTGTCAGTCTCCTTACGGCTCAGAAATATTGTTATGGTTTTAGAATCTAATTTTATAAAAATGGTTTTCTCTACTATATATAAATCCATGAAAAATATTGATGTCAATATTCTTTCATTCCTGAATTTAGTCAAAATCTTGGGATGACTAATCAACTCCATTAAAATTGAAAATTCATAATATATCCTCTGGGAAAACTACTTTCACTTTTCAGGGATTTATATTTCTCTATTATTTCATGTACTTATATTTCCAAATATATATGCTTTGTCTTTTCAATAGTTAACATATTTCTCCCTAAGTATTTTTCTTCCAAACATATGATCAACTCTGTGGCAGAATGTTTTCACAGTTGTTATCTTGTTTGCTGCCCTCTGTTGTCTACTCACACACAGACAATTTTATGTGTGAAGAAAACATGCCTGAGTTTCTATATGGTTGACATTTTCACGGTTGTTTGCAATACCCGAGTCTTAACTAAATAGTTCTCTCTGTTCTCTGTTTTTGTACCCTTTAAGATTCCTACCAAAGTTCTCTTCCAAAGACATATAGGGATTTTGTCCCCCTATGCCTTTATTCTTTGAATTGCTCGTAAGTCAGGAACAAGTAGAAAAAAACAAATATACGCAGGGTGTCTGTGGCCCTACTGCCCACTTGCCCTATCCTCAGCCACCAGTACTATCACTGCTCTTGAGAGAGTCAAATTTAATAAAGGGAAAGGTGGAAATCTATAGAATAGATTCCCCCAAGATCATGAGAATTTTAATTAGAACCCAGGCTTCCTGACTCCCATCAGTTGAATTTCATTTTTTGTAGGTGCTTTGTTCCCAGCTCTCATACAGAGCACCCCAAGGAACAAGGAGCATCCCTGGTCTAGTGGGCATTAGCTCTCCTGCCATTCAAATCCCCAGATCCTCTCCCATTTTGTACTCTAGTGTTTAACCTTTCCGGGTAGAGGATCAATACAAATTCTTCATTGTTAAGAATCGATGGCTGTCCTGTGGCATCATTGCCATCTAGTTTTGCTGAGAAGCTCAGTAAATCTCTCCAGCTGCTTCTAAAGCTTGGTTTGTCGTCTTCAGTTGCTTTCATTTTTAATGCAGATCACTTTGGTTTCTTTTCCCCTGGGGGCTTGCAGATAAATCTTGGCAGACATGTTCAGGGTCTACAAATGAGATGCTGGAAAAGGGCCAGCCCACCCAGAATTTAGTTGTAATGGATAAGACACCCCCTTGGTTCCACTTAAAGACTGCGCTATTTGTTTCAGTATTTATTGGTGATTATCTCATATAGTACCTGGGTGGGAAGTGCCCAGGACAAAGTTGCTATGGACAGAGGAGGCCGAAAAGTGAGCTGTAATCCAAAAGCCTGCTGGCTGACTCAGCCTTTCTTGTAAATAAGCCAAAGTCACAGATTTACTCTGATCCTTCAAATGCATAATGCAGAGAAAAACTAGATACTTTAGATGGCCTGGATCAGGAAAGTCTGGCAGGAAACCTCTGCACTGCTTACTTACAAACCCAAGTGAAAAATTACCTGCCTGATTTTCTTTTATTAATAAATAAATATATTTATCATATTGTTGAACAGCATCCTACTAGGAGTGATCTGTAAATATTTAATGTTAGTTAATGATCTCCTTCTCCCATAGTCCTTTGCTCATGCTGAGTATTTGGCTGTATCTCATCTCAACCCTCCTTAATCTGAGGTTTCCTAGGGACAATATCAGAACCCTGGTTTCCATTTAAGGCAAAAACATGGGCTCCTTGGAAAAAACAGAGTCCTTTTAACTTTGATTTTTCCTCTCTTTGATCAGTAGACTATGCCAGTTACTACCAGGGCCTGTGGGATTGCCATGGTGACCAGCCAGATGAACTGTCCTTCCAACGGGGTGACCTCATCCACATTCTCAGCAAGGTAAGGACAGAGAATATGGGGCCTGAATCGAAAGTCAATTTTTTCACTCTTGATTTAGTCACCATAAACAGAATTATTCCATGTCATACACTCCCCATGGCTCGCTCACATATAAATTCCCATTTATTCATAATTGTTGGGAAAAGTTTTAGATGAAAATCCAGATTCAAGAACCAATTTTCACATTTAAAAATACAAGGCCATGCCAGACATGGTGGCTCACGCCTGCAATCCTAGCACTTTGGGAGGTCAAGTGGGTGAATTTCCTGAGCTCAGGAGTTTGAGACCATCCTGGGCAACCCAGGTCTCCCTAAACCAGTCTCTTCTAAAATACAAAACCCCAGTCTAGTCTAAAATACTAGAAACCCAGTCTCTACTCATATACTAAAAATTAGCCGGGCATGGTGGCATGCTCTTGTAGTCCCAGCTACTTGGGAGGCTGAGGCATGAGAATTGCTTGAACCTGGGAGGCAGGGGTTGCAGTGAGCTGAGATCACACCACTGCACTCCAGCCTGGGTGAGAGCAAAATAGATTCTGAGACAGATAATCCTGTCTCAAAAATAAAAATACAAGGCCAGGCGCGGTGGCTCACGCCTGTAACCCCAACACTTTGGGAGGCCAAGGCGAGTGGATCACTTGAGGTCAGGAGTTCAAGACCAGCCTGGCCAACATGATAAAAGATAAAACCCTGCCTCTGCTAAAAATACAAAAATTAGCTGGGTATGGTGGTGCATGCCCAGCTACTCAGGAAGCTGAGGCAGGAGAATTGCTTGAGCTTAGGAGGTGGAAGTTGCAGTGAGCCGAGAAGGTGCCACTGCACTTCAGTCTGAGTGACAGAGGGAGACTCAGTCTCAAAAAAAAAGGGGGAGGGGGCTGGGCACAGTGGTTCACACCTGTAATCCCAGCACTTTGGGAGGCCAAGTCGGGCAGAACATGAGGTCAGGAGATTGAGACCATCTTGGCCAACATGGTGAAAACCCCATCTCTACTAAAAAAAATACAAAAATTAGCCAGGCATGGTGGTGGGTGCCTGTAGTCGCAGCTACTCAGGAGGCTGAGGCAGGAGAATCGCTTGAACCTGAGAGGCAGAGGTTGCAGTGAGCCGAGATCACGCCACTACACTCCAGCCTGGCAACAGAGCAAGACTCCTCAAAATAAATAAATAAATAATAAAAATAATAAAATAAAATTTTAAAATAAAATTGGTATTATACCAAAACTATGCCAATCGAAATTTAATCTTTTTTAGGGACTTGTGCTTAAAGGTCATCACTATGTACATAATTTATTACCATATAATACTACTGTAATCATTCTGGCTAAGTAAGCTGTCTTCTTATTTCATTTATAGATAAACAAGACTGTAACATAATTACATATGGGGGAGGAGTCAGAGCTAGTTAACTCAATTGGTTTGAGCAATTGCTGATAAGGCCAAGAAAGTGAATTCAATCACACACGGGCCAGCTAACTTTATTCTCTTCCTCAGTCACAGGTTAACCCTAGTTCCAGCTAACTATCTCACAAATAGTATTGCTGACCATAACAAACTGTTTTTTTTTTTAAAGGATAGATTATTATAGATCAATCACTGATGTGAAGAAGATTCAGAACTCATGGGCTACAGTCTGGGAGATCAGTAGGATCATTTTGGTAAAGAAAGACAATGCAGGCCGGGCGCGGTGGCTCACGCCTGTAATCCCAGCACTTTGGGAGGCCGAGTCGGGTGGATCACGAGATCAAGACATCGACACCATCCTGGTCAACATGGTGAAACCCCGTCTCTACTAAAAATACAAAAAATCAGCTGGGCATGGTGGCGCGTGCCTGTAATCCCAGCTACTCAGGAGGCTGAGGCAGGAGAATTGCCTGAACCCAGGAGGCGGAGGTGGCGGTGAGCCGAGATCACTCCATTGCACTCCAGCCTGGGTAACAAGAGTGAAACTCTGTCTCAAAAAAAAAAAAAAAGAAAGAAAGACAATACATATTCTACAGGTGGGCTAAAATAATAGGTTCTATTCCTAGCACTTCTTAAAAAGCCCTCTCTCCATGCAATCAATCTCTACAAACACATTTTTGAAATGGGCACAACTTACTTCTTAATTGCTGAGTATGTGGATTCCATAAGGGAAAACTGAAAACCCATTGGTTATTAATCTGTCATTTATCATTTATCTTTCTTCCTTTTTAATGTGTGAATATCTTTTATCTTTATTCTGAGAATTTTACTACCTTAGGCAAAGGTTTGTCTTGGTTTGAGATATACCATAAGCACCTTAGGAAACAATCTAGGTCTGACCCAGAGCACCTTTCCATGGTTCCAACAGAATCAGGCCCCTTTAAATATGGACCCAATTCAAACCCAACCCTTTGTTTGCAACAGAGAACAAGGCCTGCAGGCGTTACTGAGTGAGATCACAATCTTCTAGTGATTTCTCCTGGATTCTTAACTCACTACCACCCTAGTGCCATTTCGGTGCAGCTCCAATACACCAAGAATAAATTGGAAGCAAAGAAGGGAGTGGACATTGGCCTGATTGGTATTTCAAATGCCTGAAAGCAAGGTTTGCCGTGTAATAGAATTTGTGTACATTACCACGCTGGCATTACAGGGGTAATCGAGTTATCCACTCAGGTGTGACCAGGCCTCTGTTTGCCCAGAGCCTGCAGGTGAACAAATTAACTGTTTACATTGTCTGGAGGTGCCTGCAGCAGGAGGTGGGGAGAAGAGAGCCAGACTGGCTGCTGGCCTTCTCTCTGTCATGATTATTTTGTTTGTTTTGCATGTCTTTTGCCTTTGTTAATGGCTTTTCACTGGGGGTCCCTTTCCTCTAGTTAGAAGGAGTTGTGCAGTGACCTGTCCTGCAGTATGGAGCTGTCTGTGGTTACCGTGGCTACCGTATTTTTAAGAAATCTCAAAGAACATTGGGAACCAACCCAATCTTTTTTTTTTTTTAACCAATTCCTCTTCCCCTTCTCTGTTACTAAAAGCTAACATAGGACAGGTATGGTGACTTATACCTGTGATCCCAGTATTTTGGGAGGCCGAGGCAGGAGGATGCTTGAGGCCAAGAGTTTGAGACCAGCTTGGGCAACATAGCAGGATCCCATCTCTACAAAATAAAAAAAAACTAGCTGGGTATGTTGGTACATGCTTGTAGTCTCAGCTACTCTGGAGGCTGAGCTGGGAGAATCACTTGAGCCCAGGAGTTCAAGGCTACCATGATTGCTGTCATGATTGCCACTGTATTCTAGCCTTGGTGACAGTGAGGCTCTCTCTCCAAAAAGAAAAGAAGAAAAGAAAGCTAATATATAAGAGTTTAATTCAATGAGAATACCTCGCTGCCCTGTTTCTATCAGCTTCTTTCTCCACTCTTCTGGAAGGTTCTGAGTCCATTTTCATACTGATCCATTATATTAGTAGTAGCATATTTCTTCCCCAAAAAGCTATACCAGCTGGCTCCCTTCCCCATATTGTAAATCCCTGCATATCAAAGAGGAAATGAGAAGTTAGGAGCTCAGCTGACCTTTCCCTCATGAAGCTTCATTCCAGTTAACGTTGGTTTGGGGAGCATTTCAATTTGGATTCACCTTTATTATATTACCTAATTCAATAGTAATCCTTGGACAGGAGGGAACCTTAAAAGGCCACCCAATCTATTTATTGTGTTGCTTCTAAGAAGCACAAATGAATAAGTTCAGATAGAAAAGGAGATTCCACTGTCATTCCCAGCCATCTGTCTATTCAGAAGGTCAATTGTGCCTACTCTCTGGAATTTTCTCTCAGATAGATCCTAATTTATTCCCACTTTAGTCTCAGCTGCCTTCCTTTGTTGGGGTCCGTTACACTCCACAGCTGTCTCTCACACCTGTAAGGACAAAACTAACCCAAGTTAAAGAAAAAAAGAAAATAAATAAAAAGAACTAACCCAAGTTGAATTTAGTCCAGGAAAATGGCATCTAGAAAGCTCTATTTTACTTTTCTTTTTGTCCAGTAGAAGCTCTGTTGGACAAGAAAGGCCTGCTGTTTAGGAATCTGGGGATGTCTGTTTCCCTGAGAAACACAGATGCAGGCAGCTGTGTGCTGCTCAGCTTAACTGGACTTGTTTCCTTGCCTGTTAAATGAGAGAGTGGAGTTGTATAGCATCTAAGAATCCTTCTACCTCAGACATTCCTGTTCTAAATATGGTGGGCCTGACACTGTGAAACTGCTAAGGAAGTTCCACACAAAAAAGTGTTTTAGCTTTAATTACTTATTCAGTTTAAACAAAAAATAATTTTTTTTAATTACCAGCGCTTTTGTTTTCAGAAGTTCTTATAAATACGTCTGGTTTCCCCCTCTCTGTCTATCTAATAAAAGTATTCTGAAAGGCCGAGTCCGCGGTGAGGAGGCTAGAGGATCTAGAAAGGGAAGTGAGATAGAGGGGGTAGGGGAGATGATGATGGCAGCTTTGGTCGTAGGCTCCTGCTGCTTCCTGCTATTTCTTAATAGTCACCCAAGTATGATCCAACTTTGAACTCTAGAATCTAGGACCAAACTCAGGAGAATCTTTCAGTCTTGCCTTTGGGCACAAATGATCCCAGAAAGAGGGCTATTTATCGCTTTTGTTTTCTGTTTTGGTTTGTTTTTCTTTCGTGGAGATAGAGTTTTGCTCTTGTTGCCCAGACAGGGGTGCGATGGCATGATTTCGGCTCACTGCAACCACCACCTCCCAGGTTCAAGCGCTTCTTCTGCCTCAGCCTCCTGAGTAGCTGGGATTACAGGCACGTGCCACCATGCCAAGCTAATTTTCTATTTTTAGTAGAGTCCAGGTTTTCCAATGTTGGTCTGGCTGGTCTCAAACTACTGACTTCAGGTGATCCACCTACTTCGGCCTCCCAAAGTGCTGGGATTACAGGCGTGAGCCACCGCACCGGCCGATTTATCCATTTTCCTTTTTTTCTTTTCTTTTTTTTTTTTGAGATAGAGTCTCTCTTTGTTGCCCAGGCTACAGTGCAG